TCTACCATCAGAGCGATATCTCAAATTTTGGTCGAAAGAAGTACAAAATTTAATCCAAAACTCTTTGAGAAGTGTCGTTCTGAAAAGTTGCAGTTCAGGGTCAAAAATGATTTTAGGGATACAATTTGAAAACTACGGCGCACTTGCTCACGAATGGGAAAATTGGAAGATGGAAGAGGGAATGTTCGCGACTTTGTCCCATCTTCCAATCCTCCTACGAAATTCCCAGACCACAATGTGATGGGTCGCTGGATATAGTTCATACTAAAGAGAAAAGTCTGTGCTTCATAACGCACCACTGTTGCTGCTCATTAGAAACTATTGAAAAAATCCCAAGCACGAGTTTTCCAAGAACTCTGCGTGCCGCCGTCGATGAGTAGCTGAACCGTCTTCAAGCTGTAATTAGAACAGAAGACGGTTACATAAGATGACCGTGTGTTTGTTTTGAAGATGCGATGCATAGTAAATAATTTACATGAATTCACCATGTATAAATATAAGCTGCGCTTTTTGTAGCCCAATTCTTTTGTTACCATATTTATGGCGCACCCTGTAGAATAAAACCAGAGCAATACTTGACGGATTCGGCAGCAGAAATCAGGAGAATAAGCGCTCAGTCGATGTAGTGAAAAGCGGAGTAGCGGTCTACATGACAATCAGCGCCCCAGCGCAATTTTTAGGGTGGGTTAATCCCCCGCCGTGGGTAGAGGGTTACGTGACTACTTGAACTTTCTCTGCATCTCTGACGGCAAGAGGCTAGAGCCCAGAGAAAAACACCCCGGGTGAAGCCTACGGCGGTGGTGGTGGGGGCCCCATTGGAGAGGCGAGCACAACACGCAAAGACCACATCAAACGGGAGTGCGCCAGACAAGGGCAGAAAAATGACGCATCCGGCAAATTTAAAGGAGCCGAGTTCAAGTAGTCCGTAGGCCTGGGTAGAGAGGCCTCCACTCCCAGGGTGGGTCGTTAATGGGTCGCGCTTCTCTGAGCTCTCGCTAAGCTAAGGTCGCAGAGGCAAAAGTCACATGATTACCAAGTGCTGTCGATTCTTCACCTGTTTATAGGGAAAAAGTTTGCTCCATTGCAACTATCTTGACACAGAACAAAGGCAAAAACGTCATTTGAACGTTTTCGCCCTTGGAAAACATTTCCTTGAGAGACTCTCTTCCCTACCCTGGGCGTTATGCATACGACCCAATATTTTCAGATGCGACCCTAGCGCGCCCTGTGTCCTTGCCCAAGACTCCTTTTTCATGGGTCGTATATGTGACGGAAGAAAATTTGGCCATCAAATAAGTTTATGCAATGAAAAGAATTATATTCTTTACAGAAATTGCGCAGAACTCGGTGGATTCTCTTTGATGCCTTCCGCTCGGGGGACGGAATTTGCGTGCGTCCGAGGATGCGCGCGGCGAAGTGCGTCGCGATTCGAAGGACTCTGACGCCTATCATTGGGGCATAAATTTGGAGTGGAATCGATTAGAAGGATCGGCTAACCCTACCAAACTACTGTACTGCAAGTTTGTGCCCCGATAACAGGCGCCAGCGTCGCTCGAATCGCCACAATTTCGTCGCGCATCCGCGGACGCACGTATACACCCATACATCTTCCGCTCTGTGCCGTCACCCATCTGGATGCACTCACTGACTTCTTTCAGACCTCAGCGGCGCCTGACCGTTGTTGACAACACTGGATCACGTGCCAGCGCTGTCAACACTACTCTGGCGACCGCAGTCGCAGCACGCGCTGAACGGACGGACGGACGGACGGACGGTCGTCGAACTCTGAAAGTAGCCAATCACACAAAGGTATGTATATTAGTGCAGCATTGCCAGCAGCAAGTTTTCAAAATTATGTATAAAACAGGGAGTACAATCGGTAAGTGGATTTGAGTAATGAATCACAACCTATCGGTCTTGCATTCGACTATAACCAAATCGAGTGTTAGAATGGAGCAAAAAATCGCAGCCTTAGAACACACATATACAGCCTCGAAAAAACTGGGCAACAAAATTCCAAAACAAACGCAACACTTTGCCAAGTTAATCCATTTCACAGGTCTCGTAATAACGTAGAAACTGTAGAGTGGATTTCTCTAGGCTTGCTTGAGGCTTTCCACGTCAATAGGCCTGTTTTGTGTGACACCTGTCCAATATAGCCCAGTCACTGCTATACGCTGCGATTATCCAATTCAAGACCCACTCGTAATGAATGAAATTAAGAGCAACATCAGAGATCTCGCTGTTCCTCCGAGGAGAAAAGCCTAACAACATACCCGGCCTCCCGAGTGGAAAACGAATTTTGTGAATGTGTGCGCGTGACTAAGGGCGCTTTCGCATAAAATACCATAATTTTTGCAAATATCAGGTTGATGCATAATTATTGCGGATTTTTTCGCGGCTTTTTTTCTCTTGATAGAATTTGAATATTCAGTTCGGGTTCTTTCTAGAAATGATCTACTTGATTTCCTCTACGAAAATGTACCTAGAAAACCACTCGCACATTCGCGAAATTAGGCTTTACTACTTCGAGAAAGATTGGAAGGTGGC